TTATATATCAATTAATAAATATTTTTTATATTAATTATTATTATCTAATTAGATTTTTTTATTAAAAAATTCATTATAATAAATAGATAAATAGGTTAGTTTAAATTTTCTTATTTAGATTTTAGTTTTTTAAATATTTTTTTTATATAAATAAATAAATAGTTAAATGCTGAAACTCTTTGCACATCTAGTAATAGTATAGATAAAAATACTTTTTATATCAATTAATAAATAATTTTCTATATAAACAAATAAATACTGAAATATTGAAATTCTTTGTAGAATTTCTGTTTTTTACTCTACAATTCTGGATTTATATAATTTTTAATTTCTATACCCCTTCATCCTTCATCCATACCTCTATTTATAAACTTCTTGGATTAGTAGGATGATGATATATGTCCTTTTCTGATAACTACATAATTATAAACAATCATAATTGGGCCAGGCCGGGCCGATTATAATGTGATAATTATTTATAAAAAATAACTATTCTTTTTATATTGAACTAAAAATAAGAGTTTCATATAGAATGTGATTGATTTTATTAGGTAATTTTTAAAGTTTTATAGAAACTATTTTTATATCAATTAATAAATATTTTTTTAATATAAATAAATAAATACAGAAATACTGAAACACGTTGCATTATTTTATTAGGCAATTTTTAATTAATAAATATTTTTTATTTTAATAATTCTTGTCTAATTAGATTTACTTTTATTGAAAAAATCTCATAATAAATAGATAAATAAGTAATTTGTGTTAGAGTTTTATAGAAACTCTTTTAAAACCTCTTTTTATATCAATTAATAAATATTTTTTTATATTAATAATACTTATGTAATTAGATTTATTTTTATTAAAAAACTCATAATAAATAGATAAATAGTTAATTTGTGTCAGAGTTTTATAGAAACTCTTTAAATATATCTTTGTCTAGTGTGATGGAGTTTTATTGAAAATAAAATAGGTAATTTGTGATAGAATTTTATAAAAATTATTTTATTTTCTTTAAATATATCCTTTTCTAATTAGATTTAATTTTATTAAGAAACTCATAATAAAAGCTAATTTGTGGTTCACTTTTACAAAAATTATTTTGTTTTACATATAAATTAATAAATATTTTTTATATTAGTAATTCTTGTCTAATTAGATTTTTTTATTAAAAAATTCATAATAATAAATAGATAAATGGGTTATTTTAAATTTTATTATGTAGATTTTAGTGATTTAACTATTTTTTTTATATAAATAAATAAATACTGAAACTCTTTGCACATCTAATAATAGTATAGATAAAAACTCTTTTTATATCAGAGTTTACGTATTTTATTCCGGGTCGGTTATATTGTGATAATTTTATAAAAAAAAAAAACTATTTTTTTTATATCAATTAATAAATATTTTTTATATAAATAAATAAATACTAAAACTCTTTGACAGAGTTTCTGTATTTTAATCTGGAATTTTGAATTTCTAGAATTCTCAATTTCTGTACCCCTTCCTCCTTCCTCCATACCTCTATTTATAGGCTTCTTGAATTAATAGGATGATGACATGTGTCCTGATAATTACATAATCATAACTGGGCCAGGCCGGTTATATTATGATAATTATCGATAAAAAATAACTAATCTTTTTATATTGAACTAAAAATTAGAGTTTTATATAGAATGTGATTGATTTTATTTAGTAATTTTTAGAGTTTTATAGAAACTATTTTTGTATCAATTAATAAATATTTATTTATATAGATAAATAAATACTGAAACACTTTGCATGATTTTATTAGGTAAATTTTAATTAATAAATATTTTTGATTTTAATAATTCTTGTCTAATTAGATTTACTTTTATTAAAAAAAACTCATAATAAATAGATAAATAGGTAATTTGTGTTAGAGTTTTATAGAAACTATTTTAAAACCTCTTTTTATATCAATTAATAAATAATTTTTATATTAACAATACTTGTCTAATTAGATTTCCTTTTATTAAAAAACTCATAATAAATAGATAAATAGGTAATTTGTGTTAAAGTTTTATAGAAACTCTTTAAATATATATATTTGTTTAGTGTGATATAGTTTTATTGAAAATAAAATAGGTAATTTGCGATGGAGTTTTATAGAAATTATTTTATTTTCTTTAAATATATTCTTGTCGAATTAGATTTAATTTTACTAAGAAACTCATAATAAAAGCTAATTTATTGTAGAGTTTTAGAAAAATTATTTTGTTTAATATATCAATTAATAAATTTTTTTATATTAATAAATCTTGTCTAATTCGATTTTTAATAAATATATAAAGAGGTTAATTTATGGACCATTTGGTCAAGCACAATTGATTATAGATTGAATTTTAATTTTATTAGGTAATTTTGAGTTTTATAGAATTTATATAGTGGGATATAATAATATATGAGAGCTCTTTATTGGGAATTAAATTATTTTTATATTTTGTTAATTTGAATTTTATTAGGTAATTTTGAGTTTTATAGAATTTATATCAATTAATAAATAAAAACTGAAACTCTTTGCATAAAGGCCGAGAAAGTAGTACTACACTTGATCTTAGCCAAAAGACCAAGAAATGTTAGTCAAAAAGCTGACCCAAAAAAAATTTAGTACTACACTTGATCTTAGCCAAAAGGCCGAGAAGGTGTAATTATTATTTCTTTAGCTCTATAGTTTTATAAGAGGCTTCCATGTAATCATTTTTACTTAAAACAAATGTGTGACTTTGTAATTTGAATTAAACTCTTTTTATATTTTGAATTAATTTGAATTTTATTAGATAATTATGAGTGTTATAGAATTTATATCAATTAATAAATAAATACTGAAATACTGAAACACTTTGCACATTTAATAAAACAATCTATATATATATATACTTTCTCCTTTTATCTTGTATTGAACCTTCTCCTTTATCTTACATATATACTTATTAGTAAAAAGTATATACTTATATATATATATATATGGATTGTTTGTTATATAATTTATTTATTAGTAAAAAGAGGATTTAGAAGAAAAAATAAACAGCCTACATAAAGAAAAAATACATAGTCTACGTGATAAAATATGATTATATATATATATATATATATAATTAAAAATAATAATAAATTAGAGTGAAATTAATGGTACTGTTTAAATGAATAGTAAAGATAATGGCTATTTATCGGAAAATAATAATAATAATAATAATGAAGGTATAATGATAAAAATAATTTTAAATTCTCTCTTCCCTTCTCTCGCAATGAACAAAGGAATTTAGTAAGTTCTTCTCTTTTCTTCCATCCAATCGAACAAAACGAGGGAAGTTCATAATCTTTTCCCTAGGATGTCTCGTCCTTCCATTTTTCTGTCATTTCCATCCAATTTACTGTTGGACAAAAAGCAAAAGGTTGATTTTTATTTATTTTTCTTTTATACAGTCCTAACTTGCTTATGTATTCAATGATGATCGACTATAAACCAATAATTTTAAAATTATGCAAACTTCTTTTATTACATAATCTGAGACCTGAGACCAATTGTGACGAAGAATCACCCCTAACACCTAAAACACAATTTAATAAAATTCACATATTGTAAAGGCTGAATATGCTTGGATGTCGAAATAGTAATTGGTCGTGGTACCACGCACTAATAATTTCACAGCACAAAGATAATTCTGTCATCAAATCTTTTACCTGTATACGAAATTTCCTAAGGCTGACCTCTTGTGCACAAAGTGGGACCTACAGGTACCTCTCAACATGTTGTACAATTTGTCAGACACTTCAGATTCCATTTCCAAAGGGAAATGGAATTTGTCAGATAAAAAAACGACAGAAACAACTAGTACTACAATTTGAAGTTTAAGATGGAACTTTTGTGATTTTGAAATACATAGATGGGATTGGAAGTATAATTGAATTCGATAAATGGATTGAAATGATAAAATATAGTAATAATTTTTTGAGATTTGAAAAGTAAACTTTACAATTTATCAAACTCTATTTCTATTTTACTAATTCCATTTTGTTCCATATACAAAAATAATTAATTTTAAATTCTTTTTATTTCATTTATCGGTTAAAATTTTCACAGACCGCAAGAGCGTTGATATATTCTTAAGTATATTTATGTGTAATTATATTAATTTTCAGCATGTCTTTTTTAACAATTTTAATTCATTTCCTGCTTTGTATGGTTTAATAATAATGGAGACTTTTGTTTCAGTTAAAGAAAATAATTAGCATAGTTTATGCAAAGGAGGCAGGGTTCAATTGTAGAAGTCTTGCAAAAATGAATATATATATATACACATATATATATATATAATAAAAATTTAGAGTTATAAACAAGATAAATTGAGTAGAATCAAAATTTTAATTATTTAAACTCAAGTGAAGTTCATACAAGAATATTCAAACTCGACTCAAATATTACTTATTAAGTAATAAGTTTGGACTCCATTCGTTTTGCCTTGTTTAATAAATCGTAATTTTAATATAATTTGAGCTCAAACTCAAACTTCAAAATTAAAATTGTAAAAAAGAAGAAGTTATAAATTAAAACAATTCCTATTAAATGAATTATACTTACAATATTTATTGAGTTTGTTTGTCAACACCAATTGATGAACATATTCACGAACCCTTAATTGTTCGAACTTATTGTGTGTCGAACTTAAATTCATGAATTGGATAATGCGATATCCAATTTCCTTTTGCCTTTTGGTAGATTCTTTTTTCTTTTTGTACTTTTTCTTTTTGTGAGCCTAAGAGAATAAAGATACTAATTTTTATTTTCTTTTATTTTTTTAAGCATGAAATGTTAATGTTGTATTGCCATTTTATGTTTCACTGGTCCAAACAAAAAAAAAACAAGAAAGGGATGTAGGAGAGTAGAATTGGAATATACGACCAACATATGGACACCAAAACGTAATATATCCCTCTGTCTCTCTCTCACACACAAAGTTTCTCTCTCTAACAGGGTCTCTCTCCTCCGCTCTTTCAATTATTGTCTTGATTCACAGTAACCACAAGGAATTGCAAGCATCAAGGCACAACCACAGCCACAACCAACCAACACTACCTCTCCCACGCCCTTTCTCTATAAATCACTCCCTCTCACTCGCATCTCCTCAACCCCAGAAATTTACATAGCAGAGAGAGGGCAATCAACCAAAGGCCCAAAACAAACCCAGTTTAGCGATCAGAAACAGAAGAAAGAGAGAGAGAAACCATTTTCCGTTCGTGTGTTGGCTGGAGAGGGCTGGATTTAGAGAGAGAAAGAGAGGGCTTTTCTGGTTTTGGGTAGGGGTAAAACCCAGTTTCGACACGTTGTAGACATCACGGCTATACACGGAGTATCGCGGCCACTATTACATGTCCGGGCAGTACGACGCAAGGGTTGTGTCAGTGTGATTGAGAGCTGCAACCCTTCGCCGCACGGCGGACGAGGCGCTTTGCCGTCCGAAGGCGGTAGTCCTTCCGACCTCCTCTTCCTCGCCGGCGGTGGTTCACCTCTTTCCTCCTCCTCCTCCTCCTCCTTTTAGTTTAGGTTTAGGTCGTCTATTGTAGTTAGATTCATTGTATACTTATATCTATTCTTCAAGATCTGCTTGCTATTTCGATCTCGTTTGTGTATTTGCTGAATTCATGATGTTGAGGATCAAGAGGGTTCCGACTGTAGTTTCCAATTACCAAAAGGAAGAGACGGAGGAAGGCGCCGGACCCGGAGGCGGTTGTGGCCGGAATTGCCTCAACAAGTGTTGCATCCCAGGTATTTGTTAAAATGCTTTGAATCACAAATTTTGAATTAAACTCGTGTTTCTGTGATTGATATGAGCTATGTTATGTTTTTATGGGTATTGACTAAATTGGGGTTTTAAATAGGGGCAAAATTACCTTTATATGCTTTCAAGAGGGTCAGCAAAATCGTTTGTGAAAAGGGTTTACTTGGCGAGAATGGGAACAAAGAGCCTCCTGTTGCCTTCTTGGACGAACTCCTTCTTGGGGAGGTAAAATTTCAAGTTCATTAGCAATTTTTGTATTTATCGTCAATCATAATAATCAGCTAAAATTTTTTTTGCCACTTGATTGCAGTGGGAGGATCGTATCCAGAGAGGCCTCTTTCGCTATGATGTCACTGCCTGCGAAACCAAGGTTTCATCCTTTCCTTTTTCTTTCAGTACCACTCTGTAGGCAATTCAATAGATGGTTGTTGACCCAATTGTATTGTGACCTCTATCTTAATTTGTTTTTATAATTGTGGTATAGGTGATTCCGGGAGGATATGGCTTCATTGCACAGCTGAATGAGGGCCGTCACCTTAAGAAGAGGCCAACTGAGTTTCGTGTTGATAAGGTCCTGCAGCCCTTTGATGGGAACAAATTCAACTTCACCAAAGTTGGGCAGGAAGAGGTGCTTTTCCAGTTTGAAGCAAGTGAAAATGATGAAGTCCAGTTCTTCCCTAATGCACCCATTGATGTTGAGAGTTCTCCGAGTGTTGTTGCCATCAACGTAAATACATCATTTTTGTTTATCATGTTCATAGAATATCTAGAAGCAGTTTATAGTGACCTGATTTTTTGTTGTGTAAAATTTAACAGGTTAGTCCTATCGAATATGGACATGTGCTTTTGATCCCTCGGGTTCTCGAGTCCTTGCCGCAGAGGATTGACCGTGAAAGCTTCTCGCTTGCACTTTACATGGCAGCAGAAGCAGGGAGCCCATACTTTCGATTGGGTTACAACAGCTTGGGTGCATTTGCTACCATCAACCATCTTCACTTTCAGGTTCTTATTGGCCACTTATCTTTCTCACAAACTGTAGTTTAGATTTGGCTCATGATATATCTTATTTATTCTGCCTGGTAAACATTGATATTGCTTCAATTAGTTAAATTTAATGAGAAGGAATCCTGCAATTTGAATGGCAACAGGCTTATTACTTGGCTGTGCCCTTTCCCATTGAGAAGGTTCCCACTAAGAAAATAACCACTTTGGACGATGGGGTGAAAGTTTCTGAGCTTCTGAATTATCCAGTTAGAGGTCTCGTTTTTGAGGGTGGAAATACCATGCAAGATTTGTCCAATGCTGTCTCTGACTCGTGCATTTGCCTTCAAGAGAACAACATTCCTTACAATGTCCTTATCTCTGATTCTGGGAAACGTGTCTTTCTCTTTCCGCAGGTACTATCAAATTTTTGCTTGTTTATGACTTATAAGTTGTTTCTCTCACTGCTTAGAGTTTGGATGACTGATTTTTGTATTTTCTTCTCCTCGGGAACCAATGAACAGTGTTACGCTGAGAAACAGGCTCTTGGGGAAGTGAATCCAGAGCTTCTGGACACCCAAGTGAACCCAGCAGTTTGGGAAATTAGTGGGCATATGGTGTTGAAAAGGAAGAAGGATTATGAAGAGGCATCTGAGGAAAATGCTTGGAGGCTCCTTGCAGAAGTCTCTCTCTCTGAAGAGAGGTTCCAAGAAGTGAAAGATCTAATATTTGAAGCAATTGCTTGTGACCATGACGGAAATGGAAGTGTCCCTCAGAGCTTGGACAAGGAGCCAGACGTCACTCCTCAATCTTTTGGAGAAGTTGAGTCCCTTAACAACGGCGCCTGCCCTTCTATGGTGTCCGGGAAGCAAGAATGCCTAGTTCAGCACTGAGAACTGGGCTCCGAAGCTCACACATCAGTATGTGTATGTCTTAATTAAGTACGGCATGTGCTATGGGTGTTCATACACGTCCCCTAGTGAAATGCCCTTAAATAAAGCAAGCTAGGTCTGCATTGTTGTTGTTGTTGTCTGCTTTCTGCATATTACCTTCGATGTATTTGCTTATCCTCGGTAGATTTATGTAAAATGCAATATGGTACTTGCTATGTTGTGCTACTGAATGCTTCTTGGATTTGGACGTTTAGAATTTTTATGGCGTGTTCAACCCTTTGGCTATTTATTGCTTACAGTAGATAGTCTATAGTGCTATACAGATTGTGATATATGGCCATAACGTTCCACTTCAGGCCATTAATGGCCATAATTTTTCACTAGATGAATAGGCTTTAACCTATCGGCTTGAATATCATGATTTATTAGCCCACTTCTCCCTCCGATTGTCTTCGATTTTTTGCCTGAGACGATGAAGGATGCTTATCCATCTTCGTTTTTGGCCCGTGGATAACTCGAGCTATTGCATAAGTAGAAATAATGGAATGGTTGCTGCAACAATAATGACGACAAATACTTCATTCTGCACAGAAATGAGTCTCTCAAACATTCATTCTTAGTTTTTTTTTTTTTTTTTTTAACAAGAATCAAATTCTCAAATGCATCATGAATTTGTGATAGTCTTGATAAGGGTCAAGTGAAGCTCCAGTCTATGGAAGAAATTTGAAGAGTATAAAGTGACTGAAAAAAATAGCAGCTTTGAGTTGTATTACTGAGCATATATTTACCAGTCGAACACTTTTGCACTGGATTGCATCAGAATTACGTAGTCAAGCGTTTTTGTTCTTGTTTTATTGTTATTGTTATTGTTATTGTTATTTTTATTAGAAAAATGATTGGTCCTCTAGAACAAAAGGCGGACGGTTGCTGAATGCTTTGGAGTGATTTCAATCTTTCATTTTGACACCCCCATCCACCTAGGGTCGTGCTGGCACCCTCTAAATGAGCCAGCACTGTAATGCAGTTGACAAGCCCAACTGCTAGACTTGTTGGCATGTTCTGCTCATGCCACATAATCACAAGAAGTTAGATTCTGCATAGTGGAGGAAACCACCCTTAACCGCCTGTGTGTTGGTCCTCTCAGAATTGTGCCACATGTTTGGGAGGTTACTCAGCACTCCCCCATTTCCCATGATGAGTGGGAAGTGCTAGTAACTTCCCCCAACCGACCGAGCCCACTAAGCCACTACCTCTTGTAACCGCAAGCCATGACTTTGTGTCGCCCATACTCTAGCCACATCTGAGTCAACCTTGTGAACCTAGCCCAAGCCAAGTCCATCAATTTGCACCCACATATATATGTCTCTGAGTGCACGGCGTGCCAAGCCATGCACGCCCGTGCGCACGCTCGGGTGCACACCAAAGTGCACGCCGGTGCACACACTAGTGCCCTTCTTCGCGCGCCATGTCTGAACCCTCATGCGCCCGTGGCTGTAAACCCACCTGGACGCCCATGCGCACGCCGAGCTAGATGCTTGCGCACACTAGGTTGGACGCCAGACCGCGCGCCCACCTGCACGCCCGCACGCGCGCCGCTGCACACCAGCGCGCATGTCGGTGCCCACTTGTTTGCCTATCAATATCTTGGATGCTCCCCACTTGTGCAACCATCTTGGAGTGGTGCAACACGTGCCCATGCACGTTGGCTAAGCCCTCTAAGCAAGCCATGCCATAGCCCAACCGATGTGCTCAACAGACCCCCCCTAATATAGTCTTAAGGAAATCCAGCACTCTGATAGGAGTAAACATCACCCATGCTTGAGGAGTCATAATGGCCTTTCAGACCTTTCCCGACATCCAAATTGAGTGCCGTCTGCGCCAACCAGCTTCTATGGACTCAAGGTACCTCCCATAAAGATCCCGAGTCAAAACTCCAAGTTTCACTTTTTGCCATATTTACGAAAGTGCCACTGGGCACCCCCAGTGCACGCCGAGCATCCTTTTAAGCATCTTGTGTGCACGCTGAGTATCTTGTGCACGCTGACAACCCCCTAAACAATCCTCATGGCTGTCTAACCAAAGCCAAAGTATTCCCAAGACATGGCATGGCCTTGAAATGCCCATGTCTTCCCTTGGACAACCGTCAAGGGGCTAACAAACCACCCCCACCAGAAGAAGTCGACGTCCTCGTCGACTTGTCCAAGTACTCCCTTACCTGTTTCTCAAACTGCCATAATGTCACATCCCTTTCCCAACTCGCCTCTGCTTCACTGCATCATTTCCATTGTACCAAGTAATCAGTTCTGCGATTTTTCTTACTCTGACCTTGGGTCCGGTGAGACAAAATCTTCTCCACCTCCTTGTTAAACTGCAACCGAATAACAGGTGGGGCTTTCTTAGCCTGCTGTCTTGATGTATCTGCAGTGTCCTCATGAAAAGGCTTGAGGAAACTCACATGAAAAGTAGGATGGACCTTCAGTGTTTCAGGTAACTGTAATCTGTAAGCAACATTCCCTACTTTCTTCACAACTTCAAATGGACCATCATACTTCTGAATCAGCCCTCTGTGAACAGTCTTGCTGCTTATCTTCTTCCAAATCTGTGGAGTCAACTTCAACAGAACCTTGTCTCCCACTTGGAACTCTAATGGCCTTCTCCCTTTATCTGCATACTTTTTCATCCTTCTCGCAGCCTTGGCAAGGTTGTCCTGTGCCTCCTCCACCATCTCTTGCATGGAACGGGCATATCGGTATGCTGCAGGGCATCTTCCACCAGTCCTCTGCACTGCCACCTCCTGTGGTGTGCGAGGTTGTTGCCCTGTTGCCAACTCAAAGGGACTCATTCCTGTTGCTGAAGACCTGTGCAAATTATAAGAGAATTGTGCAGTGTCTAGCAACTCCAGCCAATTTTTCTGACTTGCAGTGACATAGTACCTCAGATATTCTTCCAATAACTGGTTCATCCTCTCAGTCTGTCCGTCAGTCTGAGGATGGTTTGTTGTGGAGAACTTCAGTTCCGAACCCATCAAGCCAAATAGCACTGTCCAGAACCTTCCCGTAAATCTGGTGTCACGATCACTAACAATATCTTCGGGCAAGCCAAAATATTTCACCACAAACTTATGAAATAAACCAGCAGCAACTTCCGCTGGGCATGCATGTAGTGCAGCAATAAAAATTGCATACTTAGAGAATCTATCTACAACCACAAAAATAGATCTCATACCTTCTACCTTAGGAAAACCAGAAATGAAGTCCATTGAAACTGACTGCCATGGACGCTCTGGTATAGGCAAAGGTTGCAGTAGCCCTGCCTCCTTCTTCCTTTCATGCTTGTCTTTCTGACAGACCAAGCAAGTCTTGACATATAACTCTATGTCATCCTCCATCTTGGGCCAGTAATATGATCTGGATATCAACGCCAACATTCTATCCACCCCTGGATGTCCAGCCCATTGAGGATCATGCATTTCCCGCATTAGTTCCCGTCTCAAACCTCCAACAGGAACATATAATCTACCTCCTCTGGCATAGAGTAGATTATCTTCAATCCAGTACTTTCTGACTTCACCATCAGTAACCTGTTGCTTTAGTTTCTGATAGGCATTGTCAGACTGAGATTGCTCTTTGATTCTGTCAAGGAAATCAGTATACACCGTTGTCAACGACGCCACATACTCCTGCACTTCTTTCCTACTCAAGGCATTAGCAACCTGATTCTGCTTTCCAGGTCTGTGAACCCACACAAAATTGAACTCCCCAAGAAACTCTTGCCAACGAGCTTACTTTGGAGTAAGCTTTTTCTGTGTCTTGAAGTAGGTATTGGCCACATTATCAGTCACCACTGTAAACTTAGAACCCAACAGATAGTGCTTCCATGCGTCAAGACAATGTATCACTGCAGTCATCTCCTTCTCGTGAGTTGTATACTTCTGTTCAGCATCCTTAAGCTTCCTGCTTTCAAAGGCACATGGGTGTCCTTCTTGGACTAGAACCCCACCAATTGCTCTATCAGAGGCATCAGTATGCACTTTAAATGGCAAACCAAAGTCAGGCAGTCTCAAGACCGGTTCTGTAGACACTGCCTGCTTAAGCATCTCAAAAGCATTCTGGCACTCCTCAGACCAAACCCACTGTTTGTCCTTCTTCAGCAAGTCTGTTAAAGGACTAACTTTCTTGGAATACCCCTTTATAAACTTTCTGTAGTAGTTTGCCAACCCTAGAAAAGATCTCAACTCTGTCACTTTGGTAGGTGCAGACCAATCAAGGATGGCTTTCATATTTCTCTCATCCATTCTGACATGGCCCTTACTGATCCAATGCCCCAAAAACATCACTTCTTGGCGACAAAACTCACACTTCTCCTTTTTGACAAATAACTGAAACTCCTTCAGTTTTGAGAAAACCAATCTCAAGTGTTTTAAGTGATCTTTCAATGACTCACTATAGACTACAATGTCATCCAAATAAACAACAACAAAGCGATCGATGTAGTCATAAAACACATTATTCATTAAGTTGCAGAAGGTTGCCGGGGCATTAGTTAGCCCAAACGGCATTACAAGAAATTCATAAGACCTATAACGAGTTACACATGCAGTTTTGGGTTCATCTCCTTCTGCTATACGCACCTGCCAGTAGCCTGCACGTAAATCCAGCTTAGTAAAGTAGGATGCCCTTGACAACCTGTCAAATAAATCAGCGGCATTGGGCACTGGATACTTGTTCTTCACAGTCACCTTATTCAGAGCCCTATAGTCCACACACATTCGCATTAAGCCATCCTGCTTCTTCTGGAACAACACTGGCGCGCCATACGGTGCCTTGGATGGTTGAATATAGCCAGACTCCAGCAACTCATCCAACTGTCTACGCAGTTCAGCCAGTTTTAAAGGCGCCATCCGATATGGGGCCTGAGCAGGAGCCCTTGCACCCGGCTCTAACTCTATCTTGTGATCAACAGCACGTCGAGGGGGCAATTGCTTGGGTAGTTCTGGTGGCATCACTTCTGCAAATTCCTCTAGAATTTCAGCAACAGAATCCGGAACTTCAACAAGCTGGTCCGGTTTGATCTCTATCATAGCTGCAAGAAAGGTAGAGTCTCCCCTCTTCAAACCTGTTTTCACTTGCAATGCAGAGATTATTTCGATGCAACCATATTTACGATCTTCCTTCTTTTGGTGCCCATAAAGAGCCACCGATGGAATAAAACATGGACAACTCCTGTCCCAAATAAAAATTCCTCCCAAATATGGCACAACTACCACTCTGGCTTTCGTAAGGAACTCAATTCCAAGAATTAGATCAAAATCATCTAAGGGAACAGCCATGAGACTAACTACGCCCTCCCAACAACCAACTTTCATAGAAGTGGTGGCCATGCCTAAAACAGGCTTGGCTTCAGAATTCACAGCTTTCATCTTATTAGCATGTGGAATTAATTTTATATTAAAGTTACTTACTTCCCTCTGCGCAATGAAGTTATGAGTGGCCCCCGTGTCCACCATTGCCAAAACTTCCTTGTCGTTTAGTGTCACCTGAATGAACATGAGCCCTTTTAACTCCATGGACTGTTCTTTAGTAAGAGCATTCAGCATTTGCAGAGGATTAACTCGGGTTGGACCAGATTCCGAGTCTGAGTCTCCTTTTGAATCAGCGACAATAGCACTCAGCTTCTCCCTCTTGGGACAGTCCCTAACACGATGGGGACCATTGTAGATGAAACAACCGTAGTTGGGCTTAGTCCCACTACTACTCCCTTTGTTGTTGTAATCTGCCTTGGCCTTGACAAAGCCACCGCCTTTATCCTTCTTTTGATTCTTGTCCTTCTTTTTGTCCTTGAACCTAAATGACTGGCCTTTGTCTTTCTTCCCCTCCTTGGACTTCTTCTTGTCTTGTGTAGTAGACCAAGTCATCTTGAAATCTGCAAGACAATCAGCCGCTGTCATGGCAGTAGGAAGGTCCCTCACACCTTGCCTACGGAGTTCTGCCTGAGCCCATAGTTGCAATCCGGACATGAAATTGAACAGCTTGTCCTCCTCTGACATATTTCGAATGTCCAGCATCAAGGAACTAAAGTCCTTCACATAGTCACGAACGGTACCTGTGTGCTTCAATTTTTTCAGAGATTCCCTTGCAATCCATGCAGCGTTCTGAGGCAAGAACTGGTCCTTCAATTCCTTTTTGAGGGTCTCCCAAACTTCAATCCGAGGCCTACCCGCAGAAGCATCGTCCTCTGTCCGTGTGCGCCACCATAGCTTTGCATCACCAGACAGATACATGCTTGTAATGGTCACCTTCTCGCCATCAGGGATCCGAGCAGCCTTGAAGTACTGCTCCATGTCCCATAGGAAATTCTCCAACTCTTTGGCATTTCGGGTACCACTGAAAGACTTGGGATCCAGCATCTTGATCTTCTGCGAAAGAGGATCACTCCCTCCTCTGGAACTCCCATGAATGGCCCTCTTCACCAAGGACACTTCATCTTCAAGGTCTTTCAGGTTCTTCTTGAAGACATCAGTCAATGACTCAACATCTTCAGAGATACGGGTCAATTGCTCTTTGGTGGCCTGCATAAAGTCACCAAACCCATCAGGATCAGTCTTCAAGATCTCCACTTCAGAAGCCAAGTTTTCAATTTGAACAACAAGGCTTTCTGCACCATCTTGTACCTCTGTTTCTGTAGGAAAACCCACGAACTCTTCCAAACGGGAAACTCTTTCACGAGTATTACCTCCAGCCATCGTAGAACGGGGCTCTGATACTAATTGTCACAGGGCTAAATTACACCACGAATTTTTGCCTCTGCAATGGCACTTGGGGCCACCAAGTCTCAGCCAACACAACGACACAATACACACAGTATAGAAATGTAAAGAAGGCACACACAGTTACAGGGACAAGCCCCAACCTTTGCTCATATTAAACATATTACAAAGGAATATGAGTTCGTACAAGGAACAACCAAGGCTCACACCCTCTTCTCTGTTCCCTCTACAAAGCCCACCTTAGCATTATATAGGCCACTCTCAAAACCGCCCATAACTGCCCACTAAGATGATGGATGACACCCCCATCCACCTAGGGTCGTGCTGGCACCCTCTAAATGAGCCAGCACTATAATGCAGTTGACAAGCCCAACTGCTAGACTTGTTGGCATGTTCTGCTCATGCCACATAACCACAAGAAGTTAGATTCTGCATAGTGGAGGAAACCACCTTTAACCGCCTGTGTGTTGGTCCTCTCAGAATTGTGCCACATGTTTGGGAGGTTACTCAGCACTCCCCCACTTCCCATGATGAGTGGGAAGTGCTAGTAACTTCCCCCAACCGACCGAGCCCACTAAGCCACCACCTCTTATAACCGCAAGCCATGACTTTGTGTTGTCCATGCTCTAGCCACATCTGAGTCAACCTTGTGAACCTAGCCCAAGCCAAGTCCACCAATCTGCACCCACATATATATGTCTCTGAGTGCACGGCGTGCCAAGCCATGCACGCCCGTGCGCATGCTCGGGTGCACACCAAAGTACACGTCGGTGCACACACTAGTGCCTTTCTTCGCGCGCCATGTCTGAACCCTCATGCGCCCGTGGCTGTAAACCCACCTGGACGCCCATGCGCACGCCGAGCTAGATGTTTGAGCACACTAGGTTGGACGCCAGACCGCGCGCCCACCTGCACGCCCACACGCGCGCCGCTGCACACCAGCGTGCGTGTCGGTGCCCACTTGTTTGCCCATCAATATCTTGGATGCTCCCCACTTGTGCAACCATCTTGGAGTGGTGCAACACGTGCCCATGCACGTTGGCTAAGCTCTCTAAGCAAGCCATGCCATAGCCCAACCGATGTGCTCAACAGACCCCCCCTAATATAGTCTTAAGGAAATCAAGCACTCTGACAGGAGTAAACATCACCCATGCTTGAGGAGTCATAATGGCCTTTCAGACCTTTCCTGACATCCAAATTGAGTGCCGTCTGCGCCAACCAGCTTCTATGGACTCAAGGTACCTCCCATAAAGATCCCGAGTCAAAACTCCAAGTTTCACTTTTCGCCATATTTACGAAAGTGCCACTGGGCACCCCCAGTGCACGCCGAGCATCCTTTTAAGCATCTTGTGTGCACGCTGAGTATCTTGTGCACGCTGACAACCCCCTGAACAATCCTTATGGCTGTCTAACCAAAGCCAAAGTATTCCCAAGACATGGCATGGCCTTGAAATGCCCATGTCTTCCCTTGGACAACCGTCAAGGGGCTAACACTAGGCCACAAGACTCTTCCTCTTCTTCAAATTTTATTTTATTTTTTCATTGACAAAAGACTCACACAAGACCCTTGGTAGCGGGAGATCTTTCCCCAATAATTTCTTACATTCTGCCTAGAATCAAGTTTGTAACTCTAAAAACAAATTATTTTTAGATATCTATAAAAGATAGTTATTTAAAAATATGTATTTTTATAACTGAATTTTCTAAAAATTGAACGAATCAGAATTTTATTATATAATTTTTTATTTTTTTGAAAACAAAAAATTATTATAAGAACTACAAACCAAGAATATGTGATTGGGGGTTGTTTTCGAAGGACAAACACACGTTGATGTAGTTCAACATCTTTTAGAAACCAAGGTACATGAGGGGTCAAAAAGCGAAAAGAGAAAAAGAAAGGGTAGCACTAGCAAATTTTCGTTCTCTACTCAAACCTTTTTCTCCCGAACCCTAGAGAGGCAACAAACAGTTAGCTGATCGTGTGAAGTCGATATTCTCGTCAGACGAGGTTAGTCTCATCACTCTCCCTATTGACCTACTTCACGTTCTTCTTATATTGGAATTAGTATCATTCAGTTTTATCATCTCATAACGAAGAAATGAGCGTTCTCGGTCAATCCTTTATCATCCAAACTCTGAAATACATACAATTATTTGGTTTCAAGGGCATCTATGAGTATGGAGTGTGTGTATTAGTTTACCGTGTCTTCTGACAAGTAATTGTTTTGGGACTTAAATTCGAGACATTTCTATAAATAGAACAATTTTGTTCCAATAAGTAACTAATTTGTGCTTCATTTTTCAATGCACTGATAATTCCATATCTTAGAATAACTTTTAGTCAGTTATTTTTGTTGGGAATAAAGAATAAATTTTTTTTAAAAAAATTTATTATAATTTATCAAGTCCACCTTTTTTTGCTTGGAAATTCTTGGTTTATTCATGAGATTAAAAAGTTAATTGTAATGGGTTATTTCAGTTTAATGGTCTGTATTGGCCAGAATGATTAAACCTGTTATATGTTTGATACAATGCCTCACAGATGTATGTGTGTTGGACCCTCTCTCTCTACTTACGCAAAACTATGTTCTTAAATTTGGTTTGTTAATAGTAGCAGTTGAGTCCAATGTCTGGCTGTTGGTTTAAGATCTAATACTGAATTCATGAGCCAAATTAATTTTGAGATTAGACTGTCGAATATGATTAATAACCCCTGATAAACTGGTCTGAGTTCATTAAGATGGATAATGGATGACAGAGACCAAAAAATTGTTTGAGTAGCAAACCTGACAGATCAGACCACCTCTTCACTCTTAATTCGTAATTGTGAGTGTGTGTGTTTATATAATGTATATATGTGTATAATATAGTAACTACCCAAGGTGACACTGATTTGAGCATAGCATTTAAAATTATCGGTGGCCATTCCGTTGACCATGGTAGTAAGGTTTTTGTGGTAGCAATACTCGTCCTGTTAAGAAGATTTTTTTAGCATTCTCATTTAATTCCTCCAGATTCTAGGGAAATAGTTGGTTTATGTACAGGATTAGAAAATTACTTCTGCAACCTTTAATACATCTGTTTAATAAAGTTTCTCTTGAATTGTGGATTAGTGGAAAATGAAGAAAGGTGTGCACCCGCAGATGCAATGGATTTCCTACGTAACCCAGAGTGGTCGATTGATCAATGTAATGATGACCAAAATACACTCGGTTGGTAAAGTTTATCACCTCAGAGCTAGACGCCAGATGGCACAAAGTGTTGGGCAGATTGCCAAGTTTAATCGTCGTTTTGGACCAAAGGAAGAGGAGAACGAAGAAAAATGACTTTTTAAGGTGCAAAATTAATGGTAGGTATCACAGATAGATGCTTCATGACTATGTATGGGATTGGCCGTGAACGACCAATAGATTGAATGCTTTGGTGCACATCTCTTTCTGTTTTATTGGCTTGTTGTATTTTCATTTTGATGATTTAAAATGGTAGTACTGCCTATTGAATTACAATTGTAATTCTTTCTTTATTGCTCTCCTCCCCTCTCTTCTCTTCACTTCCTTTTTAATGTGTCATTTGCCGAAGTGGGCTGAATAAAATTATCCAGTGCTTGCACAGGTACCTGTTGTATATTGCTTTTGGTAAAATGCAACATCGCTGAACACTTATGTCAAATTTTAAGATTACTCTTCCCTTCTGTTATAGCTGTTTATTTGACTTCTTTCCTACTCTTGGCAATTCTTAGAGAGCAGGAGGAGAGTAAAAGAAGTGATAGAGATGTGTTTTCTCTTGTTTAATTGAGGAAAACAAAATATAAGAAATATGGTGGAAAGCAGGAAAGAAATTGAAACACATTTGTGATTTGACTATCCTTTTTCCCCTTTAGAAAGGATGAGGAAGAGTGGGCAGGCCAAAAAATCTTGGAAAGTCTTTTCTAACATTCAGCTCTATATTAGTTGCTCTAACTTTTCTATTGTCAAGCACCAATAGTTGAGATCTTATAAACAATTCCAATTAGCATCCCATGCTGCATGCTGGCAGTCTCTCTTGAACTCTATTTCTCTCTTTGCAATCACAATTCTATTGTCATCTTGTAGCCCTCTCCTTTCCACAAGACAACTAAAGAATTGAAGACCTCTGGGTTTCTTTTTCTTGTTCTTTGCCCTTTTTCTCATCTCCTGTCATTTGAGTGCCATGGCTTGCTCTGTCAGCTTTGATATGTACCTTGTTTAAGTTGACTATTATTGAGTTGGAATCGTAGTACTGTCTTGTGCTTGATTTTTGGTCATTGGTTAACCTGCAGACTGCTGTTTCCCTTGCAATTTACAACTGTTGTTATTCTGTTGATGCTAAAACGCTCAAAGAACATTTGCAGAAAATGATTCACAAACTCATTATGCAAGTTCAAGTCAGTGTTATCGGTAATATTGCATGCTTGCAAGCCTGGATGGCCTCCTTTCACTCGTCTTTGCCATTTGATTGATGGATTAGGCTGGTAAACTCTTATATTTAGGATCCAGTTATTGACCGGGATTGGAACTAACTGCATTTCAGAATTCATGATCTGTAGAAAATTGATTAGAATCTCATTTACACCCGAATCATCTAATTGAATCTTACATGTTCCCCACATATGATAGAAGTTACATGACATAGCTCTCATTATCGTTCTAAACCTTCTGACTATTGTTGGTATTGGATGCTCTTGAATCTCACTTTGTACAGGGTAGATAGGTCTACAACACAATCCTAACAATTTGGTGGGTGGTTGTGCTGTTTGCAAGCCACTGGAGCTATTGTTAGCCTGGTATGTAAACTAACCTTTCTTTATGGGTGTTCTAGGATCAAATTTCACATGGTGTGAGAATTGCTTGTTACTAGATGAGGTTTTTATAGCCTCATCATTGATGTTTGTATGGGGTGGATATGGTAGGGGGGAATTTTCATGATATATGGTTCCCTGACAAGTACTGGAAGGGCAATACAATGGTAGAGGCTCTTGGAGTAGTAGTTTGAGGAGAAGAGTTATAGCAGTGCTATAGTCTTAACCATCCAAGACATTTCATCTCCCCTTGAAGACTTGTTGAAATTGTGAGAATACCAGTTTTCCTAGGGCCTGTTTAGTAACAGGAATTAATTATTCCTGTTTTTACTGTCAATTCCTAAAATAAGGAATCAAAAATAGAAATCATGTTCAATAAAGTAATTTTACTTTTGGGAAAGTACTTTCTCTTTTTACAAAGAAAAGAGAAAGTGGCACTTTGATACTTTCTTTAATTTCTCCACTGTAGATAAAAATTACTTTTTGCACCGCACTTATCCCCAAAGCCATCTTCCTTCCTCTAACCCATCTTTCTTTGGTAAGACTCGTATCACCAAGACTTGGGTTCGGACGATCAGTGACTGGTGATCGGTGACGGAGTGGACACCAACTCCTCTATCTTCTTCTCTCTACCACCACAAACTGCTACCAAACGCCGCCGATCATTCCTTGAAAACTAAAACCCCTTCCTCCTCCTACTGTTGACCCATCATCTCATCACGTCGGCTCACAACACTACCAGCTTGGAATTGGCCAATGGCAAGCAGTGACCGGTGATGGAGAGGATGTCGGAGTCGTAACGCATGAGAGAGCTGACAATAACCCCATCAGAGTCGTAGCGTAGAGTCCTACTACTTGATTTCAACGTCGTCATTGCCGGCGAAGAAGATAGCTCACAACAACCCCAAGAAGTCTTCATGGTGGCGGGGATCACAGTAATTTTTTTTTTATGACACTGTGATTAGAGCAATTGTAATTATAGTGGGTTCTGAAAGACATTTAATTTTGTGTTGATCGAAATAGGTTTGTGGTGAGATTGTTGATGTTTGAAAGCTATGATGGGAGGTGGTGGTGGATGCGAGCCTGAACTAGGGATGGTGGGATTGGGTAGATGATAGAATTGGGTATATGATTAAGAACAAAGGCAAAATCATAATTATTAAACTTTATTTTATTATTTTACTTTCAAAATTTTAATGAATTTTAGATATTATTAAATATGATTTCACTTTTTATTTCAGTTCAAGAAATCAAAAATATGATTTTACTTTAAAAGAAAGTAAAACTAAGAAAGTGAAAATATTAGGAAACGAGCCCTAGTGTGTGGTTTAAATCAATCACCATTTGACACTCAAGCAAATGTGTCGAAAATGTGTTAGTTTTATTTAACATTTTTTTTGCTTAGGTGTTGACATTTAAGCTTTATTCAGTTTTTTTTTTTTTTTTGGTTAGGTGTCAAAAGGTGAATGACCGGATTATGTAATAATTTTTCCTAATAAACACATTGGTTTGAAGAGTTTGCTGACGTGGGTGACTGTAATTGGATCTTTAAGTGAAATGAGCTGTCCCACCCAGAGAAAAGGAAAGATGACAAATCATTTTTCCTTTATAAATTTACATCCTTCAAAAAATAGATGGAAGAAAAAGACAAATGGAGAAGCTTAAAATTAAATTTTATTTTAAATTATATAAGTTTTAAATTACAGTATTATCCTTTATAAATTACAATATATAAATATGATTGGATATAGTGGTAGAAATAATTAAAACTTTCTTTTTCCTTCTCTCTTGACGAACATAACAAATTATGAGTTCATTATCTTTTATCCAGTCTCTTTGCTAGAGTGTCTCATCCAAACATTTTTATCAAATTATGAATATATTATCTTCTATTCAATCTCTTTCCTAAAATGCCTCAACCATACATTTTGATCAGATCAGGTATACGTTAATAGGGTGAGATAAAAGATGATGGTCATCAGGTACACTGAATAAAGACCTAGATCACTTAAAATTCAATATGTATAGATGAGAAAAAACTAGAGTTTTCCCATGCCGTTACAGTTGCTTAAATCACGCATGTAAAAAGCTAAAAATCCTTTAAGAGCCCCATCAAGCACAAAGCAATAGAAGACCCTCAGTATCACGTAAATTGTAATTACTCCACACACCAGTTTCACCACCCACGACACGAGTTATTAGAAGTTACCCCTGTAAGAAGAACATGACCACCCTAAGCTTCTCCGGACTATATGAAAAGAATGCCTTTCTCATAACCTATATATACACATCATTAGCTACAATGCCATTGTGCAATGCATCTGGAAAATGATGCAACGAGCCGAAACCCTAATCGACATATTTGTACTAGTTTCGCTGCTGCCACTTTTACTTCTACAGGTTGTGATCGTAGAAGGCAACCCGATACATAAACGGTTGCAACAGAATGGCACAATTGGTTCACCATGGCTCAAGAGAGTGACCAATCCGCGACCCACTGGGTGTTGGAACAGGCCGTGGATTTGTGACCAGAGAGAATATCCACCTAGAGTGAGAAGGCGGTGTTGTAAAAACCGTTGTGTTGAGGTCAGTTCCGATGTTAATAACTGTGGGTTGTGTGGGTTCAGGTGTCCGTTTACTTGGCAGTGTTGCCGTGGTTTGTGTATCAATACCAATTTCAATCCGTTTCATTGTGGAAGATGCGAGCACAGGTGCCGGTTTCCGAGCTTTTGCTTCTATGGGATGTGTGGTTATGCTCAGCCTCCCTTCCCATTTCCACCTCGCCCGCCTTTTCCTTTCCCTCCAAAGCCGCCTAAGCCTGAACCACCACCTAAACCTGAACCCCCCTTTCCTTTCCCTCCAAAACCGCCTAAGCCTGAACCACCACCTAAACCTGAACCCCCCTTTCCTTTCCCTCCAAAACCACCTAAGCCTGAACCCCCGCCTAAGCCTGAACCACCATTTCCTTTTCCTCCAAAACCGCCTAAGCCTGAACCGCTGCCTAAGCCTGAACCACCATTTCCTTTTCCTCCAAAACCGCCTAAGCCTGAACCGCCGCCTAAGCCTGAACCACCATTTCCTTTTCCTCCAAAACCGCCTAAGCCTGAACCACCGTTTCCTTTCCCTCCAAAATCGCCTAAGCCTGAGCCACCTCATGTTCCTCATCTTACCCCGGGTGGAGGTCTACCACCTCCGTCCGGTTAACGTTCTTTGGCTGAATTTGTTTCCATTTCAGCACCATGCAATCACGGAAGTTGTTGTTGCTGCTGCTTCGGTAGTTATTGTTATTTAGCTGAAATAAAAAGAGTATGGTAGGGTATGTCGTCGTTTGCATTTTCATGTTTTAAGAAGGATTATGCATGTAAGTTCATTTGTATTTTCATGTTCAAGATCCATTTTGCAATACACCATATTTTGTATTCTGGTTTTTGTTGTTCCTTTTTGCTGGCTTTTGTAGCCTGTGCTTTGTTCTTTTAATAATATCTTACTTCGAAGAAAATAAAAAATAAAAAACACATATTTTGTATTCATCACATTTTTAGTTAAGTATTCATCTTTTGCTACAAATCATTCATGCAACTTTCATCATCTTTATCTTAATTTCATATAAATAAGGTATTTCAATTTTTTTTTATTACATGTGGTTTGTCCCTCCAATCCTTACAACAACTTTGACCATTCGATGGTGGGAAAGAGGACCCCATAATTGTCATGGTGAAAGGCTTCAGAGTTTGATGATCACACATTCTTTTAATGACAAATATATCCCTTTGTTTTCTTCCTCTTGCGAGTAACTGGTGCACTGGGCCCTTGTAGACTGGATCTGGGTTTGGGCCTTTTGGAATTCTTTCCTGGGCTTGATATCTTACCCACGTGGCTTCGGCCTGTCTGTATAGGGGCCTTGGAGTGTAAAAATGTACTAATTATTTTTACTTTTTATCTATTCACTTATTTACCGAAAAAAAATAAATAATAACTAGTATGCTAGCTTGTGAGTAGAATGATCTGAATCTTAATGGCGGATGATCCACCATTGGGCATGTACATTCCCATCTCACTTGTATCGGCAAATTACTGAAAAAAATTATTTGGATGTACTCTTTTTGGGTAATTTGGTAACAAAAAAAATTATTTTCGAAGGGAAAAAAAAATTTGTGGATGCCTTTTTTATTTCTAGATGTAATCAATGTGGTGGTACTATATATGGTGCTTACAGATTATGGGGGAAGGGCATTAAAGGTGGCTAGTGTTAACATATGCAGCTGTTCTAAATTGATGTTCAAGATCCTATAACATAGTGGCTCATAGCTTAGGTAAATGTGCAGCTCAAAATAAAAAAAAAAATTGAAATTTTAATAGGTATGTAATTCAAAAAAAGGAAAATTATTACTATTAATACTATAAAAAAATGATAAACATCATGAAAGTTTTTTCATGAATTTTATCTTTTGCCACGCTTTTTGAATCCATATTGAAAAGAGAAAGTACATACAAATTTATTTAGGGAAGTCATATCTCTCTATATATGTCTGAGAGGAAAATAATATAAAACTTATATGCATATAAGAAGAGATAGAGAGGACTGCTTTTACGGAGTAAAAGATTATTTACTACGTGAAGATACAATCAATTTATTTTTGTAGTTTGTGTATGTATTTGACAAATATTTGTTTAAAAAGTTTGCAATAGATTTCTCACCCAATATAGCATCATTAAAATAAAGAGAAATTATAAATAAGTCAACAAATTGTTTTTATTCTTTCGTATACAAAACAAATAATCCTTCGATTTGCTTTTAAAAAGCTTTTGCGCGCCAGATTTCTGAAGCCAAAACACCACAAACATATACTATATATATAAACACACTCACTTTAGCCTTTAGGGTGTGTTTGGATAGACGGAGAAGAAAAGAAAAATAATGATAGTATTAGTTACGAGAGAAAAGAAAGGATCGTAATAATTTCTATTTGTGTTTGGATAGATAGGGGAGAAAAGAAAAGAAATGATAGTTATTCTTGTTTTGATAAGATAAAGGAGAGAAAAGAAAAAAAAAGATAGTAGACAAATTACTTTTTTACCTTTTCATAACCATGGAACTTGAATGGAATAATAAATCTGTATATTGATTTGTGGAGGCTAATTTTGGTATTATCAAAATATCACTTAAAATCACTATACTTTCTCTTCCTATCTTTCCTTATCTTCTCAAAATTGAAGAGAAAACAAATAAGAGATAAGGAGGGATAGCTATCCCCCCTATCCCTCTACTTAACATACACTATCTTCTCTTTTCTTTTCTCTCCCCGTCCCTCCAAATCAACCTTCCCAAACACACCCTTAGGGAAAGCCTTAAAAAGGAAGCGAAAAAGAGCACTTGGTAGAAGGTTAACTATGTAAATTCCTTTATCAGATTCTAATAAGATAATGGAGCTGGCGGGGGATTTTTTAGGAGTCAAAAGCGCCTCCCGAGGAATATATATATATATATATATATATATTATATTCATATATATTTGGCAATATATTAAATTTCTCTCCGCAATTTTTGGTTGGAATCCGGCGACATCAAAATTCCCCAACGCCGGCGAGACCCTCTACGTTTTTTTGCTGGAAACTCTTTTTGGGTAGTTTGGTAAAATCACATCTACTTTGCCCTTTTCTCCTTTATTTTATTTACTAACCCCCTTTCTCTCTCTCACTCTATATTTTCCCGGTAAACAAACAGCGCCGATAAGGGTTTCTTTTTTCCCCCGAAAAACAGGTATCATTCTCTCTTCTACTTCCTTCTATTCCTTTACTTATGGTGTTACATATGTCTATATCCACATAGCATATTCGTTCGTTGTATATAACATTCACGACTGCTTTACGAGTCGATTGTAACTCTCTGCTCTAGAATTTTCCCTTCGTTTGCTTGTTTGCCAAAAAAAATGAAAGGGAAAGAACGAATTTTTTTTTTTAGTGTTTTATTTTTGTAAAATATATGGACTAACACAATTTGATTTTTTGGTTGTATTTGGATTCTATTTCGCATTTCTTCGTATTTTCTCTGCTATAAATTAGAAGAGAAAATCATAATTGGATTCCTTTTTCTCAATAGGGGAGAGACATATATGTGTGTGTATATATATATATATGTATGTATGTATATATAGCATTACACTCCTTCTTAGTTTAAATCATTCATGAAGAATGGATTTTACTTCTTTTTGTCCCCCTAATATAACATTTTGAATGTCAAAAAGTTGCATTGATTTAATGTGTTATGAATCTTTGATTGTGGTTGTTTGATGTTAAATTGAAGCTTTATGGTTCACATGATCAATGTGTTGCTTGTTTAAAAGTGTTACTATTTTACGTGCTGAAAAGCACTCCAACAAATTGAATGAACTTCAATTCAGGAGGTTCTTCCTATTGCCATGGCATCCTCAACCTCGTTTTCTACATGTACACTACATGGGGCTACGAATACCCCTAAAGGGTTCAACTGTTCCAGAGATTTCATGTGCAATTATTCAAGTGTATTTAAGCAAACGGTGATGCCTAAATTGTTTTCACTATCTGCCGACCTAACACATTCAAGGTTGGTACCCGGTGAGAAATTAACAAGTTGGGAACAGAAAGGGAGGCTCTTATCAAGGAATAGAATCCAATGCCGAGCAGTGGATACCAAGAATTCACTTTCATGTTTAGGGGGAAAGAAGTTCCAACTTGATGATATAATTGACGCTCAGCAATTTGATAGAGATATTCTTAGTGCTATTTTTAAAGTGGCACGCGGGATGGAGGATATAGAGAAAAATTCACCTGGCAGCCAAGTTCTCAAGGGCTATCTAATGGCTACCCTCTTTTATGAGCCCTCAACTAGAACTAGACTTTCATTTGAATCTGCCATGAAACGGTTGGGTGGGGAAGTTTTGACTACAGAAAATGCACGGGAGTTTTCATCTGCTGCAAAAGGAGAGACCCTTGAAGGTAGTTTTTTTTTATCAGATTCATTTTGAAGTTGTTTTGTTGCTTTTTGGTTCTGATTTTGGATCTTAATTGGCAGATTCTATAAGAACTGTTGAAGGGTACTCGGATATAATTGTAATGAGGCACTTTGAAAGTGGTGCTGCCAAAAGAGCAGCAGCCACAGCTAGTATTCCTGTTATTAATGCTGGGGATGGTCCAGGACAGCATCCAACTCAGGTGTGCAATGATTATTATTTACACTATGTTTGATTTGATGTAATATATATTTATTGTAAAACATTTTTTGTATAAAATATTTTACATTTAAATCATTTTTCAAAAAATATTTTTGGTGTTTGGCGTTAAACCCCTTTTCTTTTTCTTTTTAAATCCCAAACAGTCAAACAATCCTGCATACTATACATCCTGATAAGTGTGGATCTGTCAAAATTTGTCTGGAACGTCTTTTGCAAAGTCATGGTCCATTAAGTCATGAAGGTGTTTGCCATGTTCATATAAAGTTGAGAGTCGTCGATTAAATAGATAGGGAGGTACATTCCAGTCGAACACTGAATGGGATTACTGATTCGAGATTAATATGTTGAAGTAATCCATTAAGAAGTTGTAATATAACTTGCAGAATTTGAAAAAGTAAGTCATTTTTGGAGTTGTAGTTGAAAATCTTTCCCCAGTAAAGTGTTACTCAATGCATATGAATGGCTTTGTTAAGAGCCTTGTACTTTGCAAATTTACTTTCTCAATTTCTTTTATCTTATATCAATTGGTGATAAGAAATTCTTAGGCTGTTAACATCACATCTCTGCTCCTGTTTGTGAACACATACAGGCTCTTCTAGATGTATACACTATTGAAAGAGAGATAGGAAAACTGGATGGAATAAAAGTTGGGCTTGTTGGAGATCTTGCTAATGGAAGGACAGTCCGCTCACTTGCCTATCTGCTCACAAGGTACCAAGATGTGAAGATCTACTTTGTCTCTCCAGAGGTGGTAAGAATGAAGGTAAGGCAGCAAATGACAAATTCCATTTTGAAACACTGGCAAACCTTAGTGTTTCACTAGCTGAATTTAAACTTCTGTTGTCATGTAAATTAGGAATTCAGAACATATCAAGCTTTGTTAATTTCTCTAAGATCTACGTTACCTGGACGGGCACGTGTGTCAGATACGGGTATGATCCATGCGTCAGACGTGTAAAATCTCTTAAGAGAAGAACACACAGACATTGCTAAATACTCATTTTTAACTCATTTATCTAATATGGTGTCCAGTGTAGCTTTTAACTCATTTAAAAGTAATAGTATAGTATAATTGAACAATTGGATATGCTTTTTAAATACATGTCCAACCAAAAGTGTTGTTCACATATCCCATACCTATGTCCAAGCAATATGTATCCGACACGGGTGCTATACTACTTTTGAAGAGTCCATGTAACATAGTCTAAGATGACTAAGATCAAAGAGAAGTTCAAAATGATTTTAGGAGATGAGGAGGTAGGGTCGCTCATATTTTTGTTTTCATTTTCTTTAATTTCAGGATGACATAAAAGACTATCTGACATCAAAGGGAGTAGAATGGGAAGAAAGTGCTGATCTGATGGAAGTGGCTTCTAAATGCGATGTGGTATACCAAACTCGCATTCAGCGAGAACGGTTTGGAGAGAGGATCGATCTTTATGAAGAAGCTCGAGGCAAGTACATTGTAGATCGGAATGTCCTTGGTGTGATGCAAAAGCATTCTGTTGTCATGCATCCTCTCCCGAGGCTTGATGAGGTTAGCCAGTTATGTTTGTTCTTGATGTTTGCATGAGTATTGAGCATGATTATTTTCTGATGCAATGATAAATTCATTTGTCTTTTTTGTTAGATAACTGTGGATGTTGATGCGGATCCACGGGCAGCCTATTTTAGACAAGCAAAGAATGGTCTCTACATTCGGATGGCTCTGCTGAAGCTTCTGCTTCTTGGGTGGTGAGAAATATATATATCTATCAAGTTTTGATGCATAATATTTCTTTCTTCAGGCAAATTATGGATATATGAGCTTTTGACCGCAAAGACCACGAGAATGGTCTGGTTTTGAATGGTGTTTGGACTGTTTAACTAGGGCAAATTTTTACAGTCCTTGTTTAGGCTACTTTTAAGAGTTTTATATCTAGGAAAGGATTGTTCTTAGCATATTTCCAAGGTGACCAGAACAAACAAAATATTATCATTTTTAATCTAAACGAGGGCCTTGAATATATAGCTTTCTGCGTCTTAAATATTAAATATATATAATATAATTTCCAACTCAGTATTGAAGAACCTGATTTATTATATATTGTCAGATTGATCAACCATTTCTCAAGCAATGATTTAACAAAATAACTTCCTTAAATGATATAAGCTAAAAACTGCATAAACCATTTGTCCATTATTGTGGATAGAATCGTGTCCACAATACGAATTGAATGATTTATGCAATACAAATTCATATTTGAAGATTAGTTTGAATTCAAAGATATTTTACCTACTATTCACATAATCTAATTCAGTCATTTGGCTGAAGATTATATGGCTAGCTATTGGCTGAAGAGTATATGGCTAGCTATTTCTAATAGCTAATTGAGGGTGGCTCTAATTTAATTGTTTGGAGATATGGCAGAGCCACAAATACTGGCTGCAATGGTGGAATGTATGTTATCCAATCTGTCATAATTGATTCATGGTCCGCAACAAACAAAAGATCCGAAATAATAATTTAAAAAAAAAAAAAAAAAATTGGTTTTTCTTTTAATAATAATTAACATGTTCCTGACCCAATTCAATACTAAGAGTGATCTGTCAAGAAAATTTTGATTATGGGTTATAATAGATATTTTACCTACTATTCACATAATCTAATTCAGTCATTTGGCTGAAGATTATATGGCTAGCTATTGGCTGAAGAGTATATGGCTAGCTATTTCTAATAGCTAATTGAGGGTGGCTCTAATTTAATTGTTTGGAGATATGGCAGAGCCACAAATACTGGCTGCAATGGTGGAATGTATGTTATCCAATCTGTCATAAATGATTCATGGTCCGCAACAAACAAAAGATCCGAAATAATAATTTAAAAAAAAAAAAAAAAATTTTGTTTTTCTTTTAATAATAATGAACATGTTCCTGACCCAATTCAATACTAAGAGTGATCTGCCAAGAAAATTTTGATTATGGGTTATAATAGAATTATTGTCACAATATTATATTATGACATATATAGTTTGCTTTTAAACTTATGTGGTAGAATGGAAATTTTTTTATTTGGTGGTCTCTAATAGCTCATATTATTATTATTTTTTTCTTTCTCAAATTGATCATTTAAAATGACTAAATAAAATACTAAAATATTATTTACACCATAGTAAAGATATGTCATGTGATTCGACACCTATACTTCAAATCATTGATTTACCAATTTGTTTGGTTTCCTTCAATATCTCAAATTATATATATATATATATATATATATATATATATATATATTATTAAGTGTTTCAGTATTTATTTATTAATTGATATAAATTTTATAAAACTCAAAATTACTCAATAAAATTAAAATTAATTCAAATTAACAAAATATAAAAAGAGTTTAATTCAAATTACAAAGTCCCACATTGGTTTTGAGTAAAAAGATTATATGAAGGCCTTTTATAAAACTATAAAGGTAAAGAAATAATAATTACACCTTCTCGGCCTTTTGGCTAAGATCAAGTGTAGTACTACGTTTTTTTGGGTCAGCCTTTTAGTTAACCTTTCTTGGTTTTTTTGGTTAAGATCAAGTGCAATGCTACTTTCTCGGCCTTTGTGCAAAGAGTTTCAATATTTATTTATTAATTGATTGATATAAATTATATAAAACTCAAAATTACCTAATAAAATTCAAATTAACAAAATATAAAAAGAGTTTAATTCACAATAAAGAGCTCTCATTAATTATTATATTCCACTATATAGATATATCAATATTTAAATTACCTAATAAAATTAAAATTAATTCAAATTAACAAAATATAAAAAGAGTTTAATTCAAATTACAAAGTTCCATATTGGTTTTAAATAAAAAGGATTACATGAAAGCCTCTTATAAAACTATAGAGCTAAAGAAATAATAATTACAACTTCTTGGCCTTTTAGCTAAGATCAAGTGTAGTACTAAATTTTTTGGATAGCCTATTGGCTAACCTTTATTGGTTTTTATATTTAAAAAGTTTCTATAAAACTCTAACACAAATTACCTATTTATCTATTTATTATGAGATTTTTAATAAATGGAAACTTAATTAGACAAGAATTATTAAAATAAAAAATATTTATTAATGGATATAAAAAGAGTTTTTAAAAGAGTTTATATTAAACTCTAACACAAATTACCTATTTATTTATATATTATAAGTTTTTTAATAAAAAAAAAATCTTACCAGACAAGAATTATTAATATAAGATCATGTGATGTGATTCAACATCTGTACTTCAAATCATTGATTTACCAATTTGTTTGGTTTCCTTCAATATCTCAAATTATATGTATATTCAGATTGATCAACCATTTCTTAACCAAATAACTTCTTTGAATGATATACACTAAAAACTGCATAATTTTATAGTGAAAAGACACACCATCATTGTGGACAGAATACGAATTGAATGACACTACAAATTCATATTTGACGATTGGTTTGAATTAAAGATATTTTACCAATTACCCAAAGGCTACTATTCACATATCTAATTCAGTCATTTGGCCCAGGAAGAGAGTGACACAATTTGATCTTTTCAGGATTATTATGATATGCAAAATGTTATATTTCCATGTTAAATCTATATTTTAAGAGGAGTTACACTATCAAAATATTATAATATGAGAAGTCTTTTAAGAGAGCCCGTTGGAGTGTCTATTTTATTCTATTTATTATATTTTGAGTTTGAGAGGCCATTTGCCATTGAAGTACCTTTTTTTTTTTTTTTTTTTTTTTTTTTTTTTTTTTTTTTTTTTGCATCTATCTGATATATTTTGAGTTTGAGAGCTCGTTTGAGAGACCATCGGAGATGCTCTATATGCTATTTCTAATAGCCAATTGAGGATGGCTCTGATTTAATTGCTTGGAAATATGGTAGGGCTACAAAAAACTGGGCTAAACTGGGATAGGAGTATCAGTATCTACATGCTTATAGGATAAAGAATTCCAGTGAATACCAATGCCTCCACAACAAACAAAAGATCCAAAAATGTTATTCACGCAACACTTCAACCGACGTGCGGATATTATTTCTTTTTTTTTGTAAAAAAGTATTTTTTTTTCTTTTAATAATAATTAACCTGTTCCTGACACAATTCAATACTAAGAAATACTAATAGTGATCTGTGTGTGGGTTGTAATGCCAACAAAAGTTTGATAATGGGTTAAAATTATTGTCATAATGTTATATTATGACATATATAGTTTGTTTAACTTTATTATAGTTAAATTTACAGAATGCTGTTAAAATTTTGAATAACTCGATTAATTTGAAACAACTTATGCAAACATATACTTTTGAATTTCGAACAATTCCTTCTTTGTGTTGTGTGGAATTTTTTTTATTTGGTTTTCTCTAATATCTCATATTATTATTTTTTTCTTTCTCAATTTGATCATTTAAAATGACTAAATAAAATACTTTCCTCCACGATTTACACCATAATTTTATAATCAAAAGATTTCACATTATCAGTGTGCAACAAAACTTATATTCGTACAATGCAAATTGAATGACAAAAAAACAAATTCATATATGAAGATTCGTTCGTAAGAAGGCATTTTGTTTCTCTTTTAATAACAAAACACAAAGAGTAATTTATAAAGCTGCTATTATGGTCACGCGTTGTCATGACAAGAAACTAATGGTATATTTGGTTTCGAATATTCTTTTAAATTTTTTGTTGATAATTTGAAATTAAAAAATTATACAAAAATCCATTTAATTGATAGTTTTTAAAACTCAACTAAAAAAATACACGTTTTCATATTTTGAGAATTATTTTTAAAAAGTTGAACCAAACATGTCATAAATTCATAATACATGTAATAAAGATAATTCTTCTCAATAGTTGGAGAGTTATTGTATTAAGAAATATCAATGAACTTTTATTGAGTGTTAGTACCACCTTGGTGGTACATCACTGCAACTTGAATTCAATGAAAAAATCATCCAATTGTCATCTTAAATTCGGAATTTAAGAAAATTTTAATCTAGTTAAATTAAATTTTCTTTTATTTTTCAAATCATATCATGAATTCAGTGCTTTCAAATGAAGACGAAAATAAAATTTGATACAGTTTATTAGAGTTTAAGAAAATCTTAATCTAGTTAAACTAAATTTTCTCTAATTTTCAAATCATATGATAGATTCAGTGCTTTAAAATGAAGACGAAAATAAAATTTGATGCAGTTTATTAGTGAGAGCAATTGTTTAGGCGCAATTTTCCAATTCTTTATTGTTTAAATTGCATCATCAGGCCAAGCCGACAAAATGTTAAGCCATTGTTGAGTGCCTTTTAACAGAATGTACCAGTCCATCCCTCCAAGCCAACTTGAGCACTGCTTGAAAATTTTCGGGCTTGGGCGGTGTAAATTACAATTTGGTTTGTATTTGGATTGAAAAGTAAGAAATCGATTTCATTTAAGAGCAAACTTGAGCTCACCCCGAATTACAAAATCTGTAATTCCAACTAAACTGATATATATATATATTTGTATTGATTGCGTGTGATTGGCTATTTAATGAGTTCTCCCTTATAACATAAATGACATATTAAACTTCGTAATTCTAGATCATTTGATTATTATGTCGTGCCAATATCTTTCATTATTTTAGTTGTAAAAAACAAGTTAAGCTAATTTCATTTATTATTACAGCAATCCAAAAAGTTAACTTGTTACAATATTTATCATTTTCGTTGTAAAAAAGTCAACTTGTTACAATATTTTTTATAGCATTTAGTGTAGGGGGACGAGGGATATTCTATAACACATGTACGCATTTGTATTGTCTAATTTTGTACAATTATGTTACTTAAATATACACAAATTTTCTTTTCAATTTGTACGGAAATGTTGCTTAATATAAAAACTCATCAAGGGGATAACTGTAAATTGAATCAAACAAAAAAAATTATCAATTAATAGTAATTCCTTATATTTATTATACTAAAAAAATAATTGAATTTTTAAATATTTTA